ACAATCCCACACCCTCTCTCCTCATCTTGAGGGGAAGAGCAAGTCAGCTTACCATGTGATCAAACACCAGCCTGGGGGCTTCCCTGGTGGCGCAGTGGTTGAGAGTCCGCCTGCCGATGCAGGGGACATGGGTTCGTGTCCCGGTCCGGGAAGGTCCCACATGTCGCGGAGCGGCTGGGCCCGTGAGCCATGGCCGCTGAGCCTGCGCGTCCGGGGCCTGTGCTCCGCAGCGGGAGAGGTCACAGCAGTGAGAGGCCACGTACCACACACACACAGTAAAAACCACCAGCCTGGTTGTATCTGATTGACCCTGATTGGCCTGATCTGGGCCACATGCCCATCCATGGACCAGCCACTGTGGCCTGGGCCATGGGATGCACTGATTAGTTTAGCTCCAAGCCCCGACCACTTGGTGAGTGATTCACAAGAGAGAGGTTGAACTGGAGGCCCGCTGTGCCGTGAGGAGAAGTGGACTTAGAAGTAGCCATCATCCTGTACTACAGGCTTCTCACACCCTACCAGACATGTCAATTGTCATCAAAATGCAGATTCTCATCTGGAGGCCTTGGGTGGAGCCCGAGAGTCAGAGTTGATACCAAGCTCGCAGGTGTCTCCCATGAGCCGGACACACTGTGAGCTGAAAGGCATCGTAGTGGCTGAGGTCATAGAGTTAGCAGGTGACAGAGCCATACTTGAGTCCTGGTCTGGTTGATTCCATAATTCGGTGCCTTCCACTACTGTCTACACCGCCTGATCACCCTTGGTGAAAATTCTCTTTTCCTCTGAGTCCCATCAGCATTTTCTATTTCTTTCGTAGTATTTAGGTTCCATGTCTTATGCCAGTTGTTTGGGTAGGTGGTACGATGCATTGCAAGTTACCATAGTTCACTTTTTCCCCTTGAACTTCTCACCTAGAATCCTATGAAGGTAGTCAATTGGCTGGAATGTGGTTTTATTGAGGTCAGGGTGGAATCCCTTCCCTGTATCAGAATCCAGTACTGAGAGCTGATTGCTGTCTGGTCACAGAGGGATTTCCGTGGAGACTGACCATCGGTGGAAAGATCTAGTCAACCCATCAGCAAGGATGTTTGAGCCCCTTCTAGGGCTCAGTCTACACCTGCTCCTCTTGGGCAGGACCCAGAAAAAGTAAAAGACATGAAGACATGGGCCCTGCCCACTACGATCTACATCGGGAGACCAGAATAACCCACTTGAAACTGTGGTGAACAATACAAGACAGCCTTGCAATTAAAGGCTTATTTGAAGGACTAGAAGTGATGTGGGATTCAGAGGTGAAAGAGATTCCAAAGAGCCAGAGTAGGCTAGAAAGGCTTCTGGAGAAGGTGGGACCTCAATTAAGTTTTGAAAGACAGGCGGGATCTGCAGGAGGGCAGAGGGCATTTTAGGCCAGGGAAACAAATAACTCAAAACACTCACTTCTTCATGTAAGAGACAGAACGTCTCTGTAGAGGTGTTTGTATTGGGCACTCTGACGGCATGGTAGGTAACTTCCATCCCTGCCAAAAGTGACTTGATATTTATTCAGACTTTAAAATAAATTGGCCTATGACATCAGGTATAAAGAATCTCGTTTGAACAGTGACTAGATTTGAAGGGTCAAGTTCTTTCGCAACTTTAAAAAAATTCAATGGCTAATTCGATGAATCAAAATTAAATTGAAAACCGAAAATCAATTCAATGTTTTCCTTCCATGAAATCTAAAAGCCTGGGAACCACAGACCTTGGAATGCAGGGAGCAAAGGACAGTGGGGGAGAGAGATGATGGGCAGTCACCTTGGTTATGCTTTGACTTGTTTGTTCATGCCCTCAGGACGTATTACAGGCCTCAGAGTGCACAGTTTTTATTTAATTTGAGCACTGCAGAATTTGAGGAGATATTGGGGGAAAACTGTTCTCTGGGGGTGATGATTGAGGCTATGTGTGTGGCTCAGAGGAAGCTGGGGCACTGCCTTTGTGGAACCCACCTCAGACTCGGTCATGTTGCTCGGTATGGGCTGTCTCTCAGGGGAGGGGTCTTCAGGGATAAAGGAGGAGTAAGGGGGGGTCAAAGAGAATCAGGAACCGAAACAAACCTGTTAGCTCTTAGGGGCATTTCAACAGAAGAAGTGTGAGAAACAGTAATACGAGAGGTGCTCCTAGTACTTGTGGGTCCAGCAAGAATTGCTTACTGGGCACCGTGCATGGACCAGATGCTATGCTGGATATATCCTCGGTTACTGAATAATGGTGCTTATTTCACCAGCATAAGCAGTGGTTTTTTTTTGGCTGCGTTGGGTCTTCGTTGCTGCCCACGGTCTTTCTCTAGTTGCAGTGAGCGGGGGCTACTCTTTGTTGCAGTGCGTGGGTTTCTCATTGCGTTGGCTTCTCTTGTTGCAGAGCACGGGCTCTAGGTGCACGGGCTTCAGTAGTTGCAGCATGTGGGCTCAGTAGTTGTGGTGCACGGGCTTAGTTGCTCTGCGGCCTGTGGGATCTTCCTGGACCAGGGATTGAACCCGTGCCCCCTGCATTGGCAGTTGGATTCTCAACCACTGTGCCACCAGGGAAGTCCCATAAGCAGTGTTTTATAGGCCGAATGAAATCATGAAGTGGTCTAAAGTCACACTACTTTCTGGTTGTTTTAGGGGATCAGTAGTTGAGAATGCTGATCGGGACGCTTTGGTGAATTTGGAGTGTTGGATGCACGTGTGCATGTGTGGAGAGCAGTGGAAAGAAACCTGCATGACCAGGATGAGAGGGATGTGACATTTCTATGCTGGAAGGGACCAAGGCACTTGCGAGAGCCAAACAGGCTTTTCTTTTTTTTTTTTCCAGTTTTATTGAGAATAATTGGCATACATCACTGCATTAGGTTTACGGCATATGGTGTGATGGTTAGATTTACGTATGTTGTGAAATGATTACCACAGAAGGTTCAGCTAATATCCGTCTTCTCATATAGATACAATGAGAAGAAAGAGGAAAAGGAAAAAGGGAAAACAATGCCTCCTTATGCTGAGAACTCTTAGGATGTGCTCTCTTGCTTTCCTGTGGATCATACAGCAGTGTTAGCTGTGATCATCATGTCGTACATTACATCCCTAGGACTTATTTATCTTATAACTGGAAGTTTGTACCTTTTGACCACCTTCCTCCAATTCCTCCACTGGCTTTTGAAAATTCCACTTGCAGGGCTGACAGTCTTTGTGCCAATGATCCAAACGAGATGCAACTCACCATAAGATTCCACCCGGTCAGGTCAGTGCAGTGGCTCAGTGGGGAGGTGGGTGGGATTTAAGGCCCAAATCTTCAATGCCTGCAGGCCTGGGTTGGAATCCTGACATCATTTCAGAGTCAGGACTCCATTATGTCCACTTCCAGAAGCAGGTCTGGTCACAGGCCAGCCCTGGCACAGGGGCTGACGGGCCTGCAGGGTGAGGGGCCCGGGCTGCTCTGCTGTCTGCTTCCGGCGGGGCATTGGTGTGAACATGAGCAAAGACTCACATCCTTCCTCCATCCGCTGTGTAAGGTAGTAATGGTGTGAGCAAGGTAATAATCCTTATTACAGCATGAAATATGTCGTAAACCCAAAACTAACCAAGGACAGCAGAGGAGCAGGCAGGCAGATAAATGGCAGGTCAGTCTTCAGCACAACTGGGCACCCAGCTCCCACCTGGAGTAACAACAAAGCCAATCCCTTAGAAAGGAAACAATTCCTCAAGTCTTCTATTCCATCAACGTGCTTGTATGTCACTTGAAAATGCACTCATCCTCTCTGTTGGAAATTAGTATTTTCAAGTAAGACTCTAAAAATCAATAAGCAAATAAATATTGCAGCCATGAGGCTGGGAATCCCTGGGAGTTCAAGAAATAATACAGAAATCAGACAGAAAATACAAGGAATTTTCCTGTGGTGTACCCCAGCACTTAATTTTTATGCTGATTATACAATTATTATTCAATGTTATTTAACACCTGGGAAATCGACTTTATTTTGCTTGTTAAGAGAGCATAGACCATGGGATGGGGGTGAGGGTGACACTCATTCACAGATCTTAAACAGAATTAAAACTGCCTGCTTATATCAACAGGGAAGGTAACAAGAGCATAAAAATCGACAAGCAGAAAAGGCCTGGGGAATCCAGTGAGACCTTAAATATAGTCCAGTGAGTAATAAAGGACAAATATTTCTAGTAGGTGAGAGGCAAGACGATAAACACCAGGTAGGCTGCACCTGTTTTTCTCATCTACCCTTTTAAGAATGCTCTCACTAACTTCCTGTTTATCCACACCTCCAGCCGAGGAAGGAGATCGTTCCTGGGGCAAGATTCTCCTTGGGGCCGCTCGCTTCTCCACCTCCCCTAACACAAGGCTCTGGCTTTTTGCTTTATTTCACATGATGGATTTACCCACCTTGCGGAAGAAGGCCACTGAAAGCCGGCTTGGGAGGTGTGACTGCGCTTATTTTCAGTTATGCATTTAATACAATTAAATACATAAATGAGACCCTAGTCATTTCTCAGCACTCCCTTCTGCAAGGACCGTATACACACACACGTGCGCGTTCAATAAAGTTAGTAAAGAAAGAAAGGCTTGAGAGCGCTTGGCTGCGCGCTGAGATGCAAGTCGGGCTCAGCATCCCCCGCCTCGACCCGCTCCCTGTATCCGGGTTGGGAATCCAGCAGCTGCTCGGCTGCCGGGGCCAGGCGCTCAGGCCGCGGTAGGCAGAGCCCGGCGCGGCCGGCGCAGCGGGCGGGACCTCGACTTTCCGGGGAGAACGGGGCGGGCGGCTGGGAGGGAAACGGGAGGGCGCGCAGGTGCTGCAGGCACGGGGCGTGGGTGCAGCCTGAAAACGCCCCGCCCCCAATTCCCCGCATCCCCGTCCCGCGCCCCTACGCGCGCGCCCCCGGCCGCCCCACGACAGGAGCGGGGCGGGGCACGCTCGCTAGCCAGGCAGGTGACGTCGGTGACCCGGGGCTAAGTGTACCCTCGGTCCCGCGCCTGCCCTAGAGGGCCGGTGGGACTGAGTTCTCCTATACCTCGCTGTCCGCGGGTATGCAGTTTCCCGTCTGGAGGGACCGGGGAAGCCAGCGTCCCCACGTTCGTGGCCAGCGAGGCTGCGCCTGTGCCCGGCCAGGCGTCCTGCAGCCCCTCCAGGTGCCCAGGTGCCGGGCGCGCCCTCTGCCTTATCCCCGAGCGGTTCTAATGAAGTCCGAAAAGCATCTCCTGTGACACAAGCTTTCGAGGGCCCGCATCGCCGCTTGGCGCGGGCGGTCACCTTGCCCATCTTTAAAACGAGCAACGAAACAGCCCACAGTCAGGGTGGCAGCCTCGGCTGACAGCGCTCAGCCGGCTTTGCGAACCGCCTGGCTGAGGCTTCCTCGAGGAAGCAGACCCGGCCGCCACAGCCCGCTGGTTTTGGAAGATCATAGAATCTCAGAGATCTGCTGCTTTACCGACAAAGCCAGCTGTCTGCGCGGCCCCCCTCCTTTTGCTTTCTCTGTGAGTCAGGGTGCAGACCCGGGTGGTGGGTGACGGAGCAGTGTGGGCGCCTGTGGAAGGCTGGGCCGGGGAGATGCGGCTTTGCCGAAGGCTGCGCTCTCCTGCTCTGGGAGCCTTTGAGGGGCTTTTGGGCGTGCTAGGCGGTTGAGTTTCAGAGAGCAGCCTGCTTTCATTTTCTTGGTTGCCTTCATCAAGATATAGCTCATTCTTTGACATTTCCTGCCCAGAAACCTTTGAACCCTATTCTTTTTTGCTGATTGTGTGTTGTGCTCTGGGAAAGCGTGTTTATTTCTTTTTGTCCCTTCTTCTGCCTAGCTCTGGGCGGAAGAAACCATGGAAAGGGGGAAAGGGTGGATGGAGGTCCTGCCCTACTCCAGGCCAGAGACTCGGTGATAGGGGGAGGGGGCGGGCTCAGGCCTGGGGTGACCTTTGAAACGTCACGATTCCATCCTTGGGCCGTCGTACTAGGCAGGAAGAACCCGACCTACTTTTAAAGAACTCTGGAAAGATATCCTGTGTCCTCCTGAGACAGCCACTATCGCCCGAATGCTCGTTCACCAGTCGCCCTCTGACTTTTAGCTCCGAGCCCGTCTTTGTGACTAAGTTGTGTCACCACGGTGGCCAAGGCTGAGGGGGCCTTCCGCAGAGCTCTGTCAGTTACGCAGTATTCAGGATCTGGGTCAGGATGGAAAAAACTGTTTTTCTGTTGAAAGGTTTCTTCCGTGTCTTTTGTGAAGACGTGCTTCTTGGTGTTCAGTGAGAAGGATAAACTCCTGCTTCTGGTCGGATCTGGGGGAAATTCCCACCCAGCGTAGGAGGCTCCCTGCTCCATGACTTTCCATGGATGCATCTGCTCTGATCTGCGTCCGCTCCAGGTCTGTCCTGGTTACCTTTGTGTGTTTCCAGCCTGGAAGTGGCGGCAGGGCTGGACCTTCTCCCCGCCTGTCTTTCCCAAGTCTGTGTGAATGTGGTTTCACTGAGGGACATTTGGCCCCATGCTCCGCCCCCTCTGGATGGCTTCCAGCCTTGGCATGTGCTGGAGACAAGGCAAGAGGCAGTCACGCCCAGAGCGCAGCCCGTGGCTCCTCTTTTGTACACTTTGGCCTGACTACGGTTGGCTTCCGCTGGCAGGATGCGTCCAGAGGAACTCCTGTAAGGTGGCATTGGGCTCCTGGGGGCCTCACCTGCAAATGGCCCTGAGGGTGACATAAGGGCCATTGACTTCGGTGGTGTCTGTGAAGGAAGCAGCCTCCTTCCCCCTGCTACAGCCCAGATTGCTCAGTACGATGATTCAGTACCATACCGGGCATCTCATCTGGAGACTGGGCCACGGAGCGCCATATTGAACGGAAGAAAGATGGAATGAGCTTGGAGTGTAACAGCTGACACGTGGGGATGTTTGGGTGCTGCTGCTTTAGAAAGGGTTGCAACTTTTGAGAGGCTGTTTAAAATTGATCTAACGATTGTTATGCTTCCAAAAATCCTCTTCCTTTACTTTGAAACTCTTGTTTTCAGCTCAGCATCCAGACTTGTCTGGTTCCACTTCTCGAACATCTGTGTTCAAGAGTGTGCACTCAGGAGCTAGACAGTCTGGGTGGGAGTTCAGGCTTTGCCAATTATGAGTTGTGTGACTTAAGTGTCTTTGTGCCTTCGTTTCCTCAGTTGTCAATGGGGGATAGTAATGTATCAACTTCTTCAGTGTTGTTGTGAGGATTAAATGAGTTTAAGTGAAGCATTTGAAATGGAGTCTGGTAGACTCGGCACTACGTAAGTGAGGGCTTAGCTATTACTTTACTCTTGTGTTGTTTGGCTAAGCCATTGATCTTAATCCAGCTCTTGGTGTGTGACTTGGAATTTTCTTGTTTAAAGAGAGAGAGAATGAAAGAGAGGGGAAAATATAATTGACCTATTTCCCTGTTAGACCAAGTGGAAACCATTAGCTAACGTACGTTCCAGATACTTAGTGGATTCATATTGGAATAACTAGGTTAACTTCTTGTGAGTTTCTAGGTCTTTAGACAGTTTGGAATGGTGAGGGTTCAGTAGAGTCCTGAGGGAACTGGATTTGAACATTGGCACCATAAACTGCTAATTCTGGCCAGAGCTCCATGGATGGGACCTATTCCAGGAGGTATTGGTCTGGGCGTAACCGGCGCCAGCTCCAAGTTTGCAGAAAATGCAGTTTCAGGAGATTGTTGGTCAGAATACCCCTAGGTCTGATGAAATTGAAAAATGAGAAAGTATGGTGATTATGTCAGTTTAATGATTCAGTACCGGTATCTGAAAGTAGCACACCTTACCAAAGGGGAATTTCTGGACTACGCCAAGGACTGGGTAAAGGTTCACTGTCTGTTTCTGACCCGTGTGAATGCTGGGTGGTAAGTCAGGCAGGGACACATCCAGCAGGATGTGCATGGGAGCCCCACGCAGCTGCGCCTGTTCTCACTTGGAAGCCCCTCCCTGGTTGGATGCATTCTTGGGTGCCATTCCTGCCAGTGGGTTCCAAAATTCTTTCTCCTCCAGGAAGCCCTTTCTGACAATAATTCTGAATCAAGAGCTCTGGGGAGTGGGCTCAGGAGCCTGCATTTCTAGCACCGGATGAGAATTGCTGGAGCAAGTGCTGACTCAGGGCGGATGATGGAAACCTCTGGTTGGCACCTCGTACATAATGAGCCATAACTCAGAGCAGTTGTGCTTATAGGCTCAGTCTTGGTAAGACAAGGTGGTCTGAGTTGTTTTTGTAGAAATGGAAACAGGCTTGCCCTGAGTCATTCATACCCTTGCCAAATCGCTTTCATTAGCAATCATTCACATTCCCTAGCTAATCTTTTACATGTGGGCTTCTCACAAGCACATCTTCCTCCTCGTGGCCTCTGCAGTGACCAAAATTATGACCTGGTGTGTCCTCACCAACACTATACCAGCTGGTGAACTCAGAAGGATGCACGGTGAAAATTTCACAATCTTAAGAAGGATATTAATGATGGTACAGAAGAGAAAGTTTGAAAAATGACTGCTATTTGTTTATTTTTATTGAAGTACAGTTGATTTACAGCGCTGTATTAGTTTTAGGAATACAGCAAAGTGATTCAGTTATATATATATATATATATATTCTTTTTCAGATTCTTTTCCATGATAGGTTATTACAAGATACTGAATACAGCCCCCGGTGCCATACAGCAGGTCCTTGTTGTTTATCACTTTTATATAAAGTAGTGTGTGTCTGTTACTGGCTGCTATATATTGTGTAACAGCTGCACACATGCACTTGCTAAGGGCTGACCTCCCTTATCTGCAATCTTTATAAGTAGAGAGTCTACCTGCCTGGGACAGATAAGGACAGTGAAGCTTAGAGAGGACGTGTTCGTCTTGTGGTGGACTTCTGAGTAAGAGGAAACGCTGCTGACACACTAGTCGTGGGTTGTGCTCTACCCCAGGAGGGGTGATGGTGTGTGCTGATTCTCCAGTGACTCGTGCATGTCTTGAGCTCCTTTTTGTGGCTGACATTTTGAGCCTGCCTGGGTCTGGGGTTGAGCGTGTGGCAATGGACCACGTGAGCACTCAAGCCATGGGCATCTCCATCCTGGTGAAATCGAGTAATTCTTTGAGTTATCAGTTTTCATTGCTGTTCCGTGCATGTCTCCCACTCTGGAAAGCTCAGGGGATGTGTAGCACAGCAGGGTAGGGAACTCAATTCTTGGCAAAACTCAGGGCATGAGCAATACATTTGGAAGAATACTAGCTCAGAGCAAGTTTATCTTCTGTGTTGCCCTGAGATCAAATAAAGGTTCTAGAGGTTGGAGAAGGGCGGAAAAGATCTAAGTGGCCCAGGGCTCTGTCTTCACCCCCTTACCCCTCACCAGTGCTGAGTCCTTGGCCGGTGTGGTGATGGAGGTCCCTACAGAAACCTCAGACGTGTTTGAGAACTCCAAGGGGAGAGAGTTGTCATTCTTGTCATCCCTGAAATGCCCTCGGTAGGACCTGGGGAAACAGTCGTAAGCCAGAGTCACCCTGGTCCCATCAGGTGAAGTAGTTTCATCACGCCCCCCATGCCCGGAGGACAAGCAACAACACAGAATGTTGACTTCAGGGCCAGAGATGCCTAGGGAGCCTCTGCACCTGAAGAGGGTCCACAGTTGGGCCACGGAGGAAGGAGGGGTCAGTTGCATGAAGTGACGCTAGGAGGCTGGAGGGGATACTTTTGTGGACGCCCAAATGTAGACACTGGTGGATGGCAGTGACCAGGCTCGGAGGCACTCACGCGTCCATCCACTTCATTGTCACTGCAGGGCGTCGATGTGAGCCTGTGAAGGAAGAGATGAGACTCTGAACTTAAATTCGGTCATAAAAATACAGTATTTATGCCGTATTTCTTATGTTCTCTGATCTGCAGGCCAAGATTTGCAGCCACTGCCTGAGTGAACCAGCAACGGCTGTGCTCTCACATGACACTGGTGGGGAGAGCTCTCGGCTGTGGTACAGATTTCACGGACGTCTCAGTGACAATGCTGCAAGGTCATGGGGTGAAGGGTCACGGGGGCTAGGAAGCCTGGTGTTTCCAGCTCTGCTCTTGACCTTTATTCAGAGCATGGCCTCAGCCACTGATTCACCTCTCTGGACCTCAGAGTTTCCACTGATACATTAAGATTGGGTTAAATTATCTCTAATGTCTCTTAGCATTCTTATTTTGTGAGACCAGGAAATGAAAATCAGATCCTAAATTCATTTTAAATGGGGAAAGGAAAATACCACGAGTTTCTTCTCCCCCCTCTTACTTCTATTATCAACCAACTCACAATCTTTTCATTTCTACCCTAATTTGTGCTTAGTTTTTATGCAGCCCTGTGAGCAGTCACTTAAAGGATGTGGACAAGGTGACTCAGTCCCATTCTGTTCCGTGGCTCATTGGTGACATTTCTCCTAGGTGACCGCTTAGGAATTCTAGATATTTGTCTTGGTCCTTGGTTCTCCAGTATTCTTTGTTTGGTCTTAAAATAGGCACATGCTTTCTCATGTGCTGACCTACTAATGTGAAGAAACCCCCGGTCTCAATGATTAAAAAGGGAGCCCCGGGAAGGTCACAGTGTTCTCGTCCCCAGTGGCGGCCATTAAGGATGCAACCTTCCTCATGTGGACATCTGTCCTTGGATGTCAGTTTTGTACTTTTAAAAAACCATGGAACCAGCGAGACCAAAACGGAGAGTCTTTGATACATATGTGATTCTCCAAACAAAGAAGAATATCTAGGTCAGAAAACATATGAATTCTAATATTTCACATTTTCACTAATTATCTAGTTGGGGAACATTGTATTTATTTAGTTCCAGTGAATGGCTGAATAAAGATGGAAAGAAAAATCGTTACACTTGTATATTGGGGGCGTTTTTCTTTGTATGTCCTATAGATGATAATCCATAGTTCAACGATACAAAAGGTGACTTTGCAGACATAACGGTACTTTTACTTGTGGTTGTGATGCCGCCTGCCCTGCCCCGATGTAGTGCCCAGTGCCCATCTTCGTGCTTCTTCGGTACCCTCAGCTCGCCTCTTATAAAGCATTTCTCACCCTTTCCTATGATTTTTGTTAATGTGTCTTCTTTCCACACCGGACTGTGAACGCCTTTAAGAGAGCAGTTGTGTCATTTATTATTTTCTACCAGTGCCTAACAACTGTTGAGTGGCTGGAAGGATGGATGGATGGGTGATGGGTGAAGAGCAGAGATGCTGAGAAGAAATGTGTGACCATTATTTGGCACAATGAATTAGTATCAAGTAACGCATGAAATTAAATGGTTGCAAGTGAGCTGTTTGATCAATTAGAAGCAATCCACAGAGCACAGATACTGCTGGTAGCTAGAATCCCTGATTTCACACAAGTTTTAAAAAAGGTGAAGATAGGTAAACAACTCACTTGTCCATGATGACTAAGGCATATTTGCCAGTTACCAACTTGATCAATGAAATGACTTTGGAAGTCAAGGTGGCTTCGAATAAAAAAATGACCAATTGTAAGAAGGATTTCTAATTTGAAACTCTGTTGTGTTTGTTTCCAAAATATCAAGCTCATTATAATATATATTATATATAATATATATTATATAATTATTATTATATATATTATCTTATAGAAGTGGTTCTCAAACTTAATTATACATTAGAATCACCTGGGAAACTAAAACTAATCTGATTCTCATGCTGTGCCCCAGACATTCTCGGACTCCCTGGGGGTGGAGTCAGGCACCCATAGCTTTTAAATCTTCCCAGGTGATTCCCATGAGCAGCATGACCTCTTACCTGGACTAAATACATACCCTAACCCTAGACTATAAATTTCAAGAAGAAGTTGGCCCAAAGAGAGCAAGAACTTGGTTCAGAGCTTAAAAATGGATACTTTGAACAAGTATCTTCAATGAATAATAATTCAAAAACTCACACACACTAAGAACAGGGTGAAAATGCTCTACAACTCAATTTTATTGTTTTAAATTCATTGTTAACTAAAACCATTGTTTTATACCCAAGTTAATTGGATTTCATGCCCTAGATCGAGCTTTCTCTGTGCTTAGAAGGGTGAAGATGTTTCTAGCACAGTGTAGGTGTGGGTGTGAGAGGGCAGGAGTTTCCTGGCTCAGCTGCCACTCACTCTGGAAGCCACCGTCTCAAATGCCACAGGTGTAGCAGGGCCAAATCTTTTAATACCACTTCCACCCCCGCGGGAATTAAATTCATTCCCAGTGAAAAGGGATTCATAAATCCTGGCCCTGCCTTCCAAACAGCAGTCTGATTTCACCAGGGTGATAAATTGCTCCTATCAAAACAGACATCAAGCTCGCAGGGAAATAATGGGCTGCAACATACCAAGTGGAACATCTTAAGTGCTTGCGAACAGGGGATTCCTGATGAAAAATCAACTCTTGGGAAATCAGTGACTCGTGTGTGTGTGTGTGTGTGTGTGTGTGTGCTTGAACACCTTTCAACCTCTCTTAAATTGTAAGAGGTACAGAAGAGCAGATGAAAAGGCTAATGTGATTATTGTATTGTTTTAAAAAAATTTATTGGCGTATAGTTGATTTACGATGTGTGTTAGTTTCTGCTGTACAGCAAAGTGAATCAGTTATACATATACATATATCCATTCTTTTTTAGATTCTTTTCCCATATAGGTCATTACAGAGTATTGAGTAGAGTTCCCTGTGCTATACGGTAGGTCCTTATTAGTTATCTATTTTATATATAGATATAGTTATCCATTTTATATATAGTTATCTATTATATATATACATAAATGTGTATATGTCAATCCCAATCTCCCAATTTATCCCTCCCCCCACCCTTACCCCCTGGCAACCATCAATTTGTTTTGTACACCTGTAACATTTCTGTTTTGTAAATAAATTCAATTTGTGCCCTTTTTTTAGAATCCACATATAAGAGATATCATACGATATTTGTCTTTTTCTGTCTGACTTACCTCACTGAGTATAAGAAGCAGAGTCTACAGATTCAATGATTAACTTTAAATGAAAACAAAAGCCCCATCATAAACAGGTCCCTGGGAGCACATTTGTTTGAGGGCGTTGGTCTGAGCTGGGCGTTGGCTGTGGCCGCGGGGAGGTGTGCCGGCTGATCTTTTGCAGTGCCTCCCCGGCAGGATTCCTGGGTGGGGAAGCCGGCTGTCAGTGAGCCATGATTTACTGCAGGCTGAGGGGCATTCCTGGCCTGAGAGAACCTCTTCCTGCCCGACCCGCCCTAATTCCCTACAATTCTCTCATTACTGGGGGTGAAGTCAGAGGCCCCCCCAGTGAAAATGCAAATGTTATCTGGACAGAAAGACCCATGAAACCCTCGCCAGCTAGTAACCAATTATCTTAAATCATTTTCCCCAAATAGCCACCTGGCCTCTTTAGATGGCCTAGAAAGAAATGGATGCAAGAGTTATGTCACGTGTCTTC